CTGCTCCTAGTTCTTATGTTCTTCCAGGGAATGCAATCAAGATTCCCACCACTCAATTGAGTGAAAAAAAACTTTTCCTCAACTTCCCTCCAAACCTCTTGCCTTTCACCACAAAATTATGCCCCCTTGTTACTGACCACTTAGTTAAGGGGAACAGCTGTTTTCTATTCACCCTATCCATGCCCCTTATATCTTAAAAGTCTTTTTGTATACACTTCTGGTCACATTATAGGAATAACATAATTGCTCTAACGTGGAGGTGCCAGTGTTGGACTGGGGTGGACAAGGTCAAAAATCACACAGCACCAGATTATAGCCCAACAGAAGCTTTCGCAGCCTCGCTCCTTCTTCAGGTGATAGTGAGAGAGGTAGCATCAGACACAGAATTTATAAGCAAAAGATCAAAAGGTCATAGAACTGATGCGAATGCATTGAACAAAGCTAAAATGGCTTTTGAAAGGATTAATATGCAAATCCCATAATTTCTTTCAAGTCACTGCCCCAAGATAACTGAAGGATATATCCGTTCCCTCAGAGGTGACATCCCAGGTCAGGCAATACATTTTAGGTGTGAAGCCTTGTTTAGAATCTGGCTGTATACTAACTTGGAGTCAGACTGGTTTTATTTTCAAAGTAATTGCTCTCGAAAGACTACACAGATTTCCAATAATGTTGCAAGGTCTGAGAGATTGCAGAAAAAAGGAAAGATTGGATAGGCTAGGGTTGTCTTCCTTAGAAGAGGAGACAGAGGGTGATTTAATTATGCATACAAGGTAATGTGGATTTACTTTCCCTTTCAAACAGATCAATTACCAGGATGCAAGGTGATAGGTAGAAGCATTAGAGAGGACAGGAGGAAAATCCATTTCATTCAGAGGGTGGTAGGTGCCTAGAATTCACTTCCCAGTTTGATGGTTTAGGCACTCAACTCATTTAAAAGGAATTTGCGTCTGAAATGGTATAATCTACAAGGCTGCGGATCAAATCATAGAGCTGTACAGTATGGAAACAGACCCCTTGGTCCAACTCGTCCATGCCGACCAGATATCCTAAGTTATTCTAGTTCCATTTGCCAGCATTGGGCCCACATCCCTTTAAACCCTTCCTGTTCATAAACCCATCCAGATGCCTTTTAGATGTTATAATTGTATAACAGATGCTGGGAAGTGAATTAGAATGGACAGCTTATTTGGTCGACACAGATATGATGTGCTGAATTACCCCCCTCAGTGCTATAACATTTCTGTGGCTCTAAACTCAGCTTCACAGTCAAAACACCATTGAACCAAGGATCTCCTCCACCTCACATACTGAATTAATGGTAAGCACACTCTTCACTGTGGCACAAAATTATCAACAGCAAAATATTGCAATTTTGAATCCTGTTCTGTAGTCGGAACGGTCACCAGGTGAATTACGAAGATTGTCATGGGAGACAGGAGGGAAAGATTATTTTGATTATTTGTGACTTGTTGTGAAGAATCATGATATAGTACATGATTATTCTGAAGCTGGACATCTAAAGTGGAAGAACAATGTATAGCTTTAAGTTTGATTTGTAGCCCTACACTGCCTGTGCTAAAAGAGGTGAAAGTCATAGTTTCCATTTCATTTTTGAGTTCTGTGAATTGTACCAGGGTGCCTGGAAATGTGCTTATTTACATGCATTTCAATAACATGGTTACAGCCTCGAAATAAACAGTTCAGTGCATGCAGCAAAAGGGTAGAAGGAAAAATGTGGCCTAATCTACACTGGAGAAACCAAACACAGACAGGGCGACTGCTTTGCAGACTTCTGGTCTGTGCACAAGCATGACCCCAACCTTCCCACAGCTGGTCATTTTAACACAGCATCTTTCTCCAGTGAATTACAGCGCAAATGGAAGGAACAACATCTCAGAATCGAATAGAATACCCTTTATTGTCACATTTACTCAACGGGTGTAGTGAAAAGTTTATACGTCACCAACTACAGCGCTGACTTAGATACGAAAGTACCTAGGCACAGCTTCTTTCGTTACTAGATTTGTTACTGAAATAAAATATTCAGCATTACAGAAAAGAGTTCAGTACAGCAGATCACACTGACACTTAGCTTCCTGTCCGCACTGGGTCCTGGCTCCACACCGGGTCCTGGCTCCACACCCCACCAGCGACGCACTACGCCAGGCGACCGCAACAGGAAGCTGGTTGGTCGCCACACCATTCCAGGAAGTCCCTATGGGAGTAGGCTGCTGTGCCAGGCCGGGAGGTCACCTTGCTACACCACACTGGGAGGTCCCTACGCCAAGGCCAGGAAGCCACTGTGGGAGGCCGAAAGGTTGACATGCCATGTCGGGAGGCCATTGCACCAGGCCAGGAGGACACCATGCCATGCCCAGATACCACTATGGCAGGCCACTGTGCCAGGTCAGGAGTCGTCGCCGGAGGCAGGGAATTATCATTCACTGGAGGCTGGGGATCATCGCTCCTCGCCGGAGGTCACTGGAAGCCGGGAGTTGTTGTTGAAGGCCGGGAGTCGTAGGGAAGAAAATAAGAAGGAGAAGAAGAAGGAAAAAAAAACTAGGAGGAAGAAAATGAGAAGAGAAAGAAGAAGAGAAGAAGAGCAGGCAGAGCGGACGAGTTCTAGCTGGAGCATCCTACACCGCCACCATCTTACCATCTTAGTCTAAAATAAGATCTCCATCCACAGACTAGGCACTTTACAACCTTCTGGACTTATTATTGAGTTCAACACCCTCAGATTGTGAACTCACTCCCATTTCTTCCCTTTCTTTTAGCTTTACTTGTCACATTCTCTGTCACCATGTTGTCTCTCCCCTCCCCCTACTCCAACGTTCCATCTATTCTTTAAAGTTTGGCAGTTAGACACAACATTGTTCTGCCATTCTCACATTCTTTTCACTTAACCTGCACTATCAACATCCTTTCTCCCCAAGCAAAACACCCTTCCCTTATTACTGCATAAATGCTGCCCCCTCCACACTTCACATCTGCTCTGATTAAGTCATCTAGACTCGAAACATTAACTTGTTCTCTTTCCACGGATGCTGCCTGACTCACTGTGATTTCCAGCACTTTTTGTTCTCAGAAGGAAAACAAACTGCTTTTGCCTAGCAACAGGAGTTTAGTTGCACAGAAAGCCAGCAGCATCTAGAAGAGCTATGTGCATGACTTATTCAGAGTGAGGAGGACCTTAGCAGCTGAAGTGCTGTTAATAGTAGTCCCCAAAGCAATCAATGATTTGTTTCAAAGGAAACTCTAGAAGCAGAAAGCTTTAAATAAATGTTAAATAAGAAGTGAACAGCATTTTATTTAAGAATCTAACAAAAAGAGATGAACTAAACAAAATAGCTCTGGGTAAATGCAAAAAATTTATGAAAATAATTGATTAAAGCAATGCCAACTGATCAAGCAGCTTTAAGATGGAAAGCATGGTGACCCTTCTCTAAGATCTGGGTGAGCATATCACTGTTGTGAATGCTGAACCTTCATTTTTTATATTTCTAATAAGGCTGCTTGAAATAGTTATTGTTTGGTATGACTTTTTTTTTCTTTTACGTAATAAACCTTTGTTATTTGGTTACAGATATTAGGCCAAATGGCCTAATTTCTGCTCCTATGTCTTATGTTGGCAACTTCACGTGAATATATTTAGTAATTGATACCCATGGTAAACAAAGCTCATGGTTTCTCAAGCCATGTCTCAAATTGGGATCTAAATTCAGCATTACCATCAACTCAAATCATAATAGACTTCATATATAGACAGAAGTCAAAAAGGATGGATCAGCTGTTAAACCATCTACTTCTACCAAGTGTTTTGGTCACATGTGAGGAATCATAAATGGAAAGGTGAGTCTAAAGTTTTTGAGAAGATTTGTAGCTCAGGTTGTGGATGAGGTTGTAGACATGCTCGCCGAGCCACTGTGCTCGATTGAGACGTTTCGTCACCCTGCTAGGTAACATTGGCAGTGCGCCACCAGTGAAGCATTAGTGTTCTGCCCCGCTTGTTATTTATATGTTAGGGTGGTTGGCATCACTTCTGGTTCTGTTTTTCAGTGGATTGTATATCAGGTCCAGTTCAATGTGTTTGTTGATGGAATTCCAGTTGGAATGCCGGGCCTCCAGGAATTCTCTGGCATGTCTCTGTTTGGCTTGTGCCATTATGAATGTGTTGTCCCAGTCGAATTCATGTCCTTCTTTGTCCATGTGTATTGAGACCAATGAGAATTGGTCATGTCTCTTGGTGGCTAGTTGGTGTTTGTGTATTCTTATTGTCAGTTTTCTTCCAGTTTGGCCTATGTAATGTCTCTCACAGTCCTTGCATGGTATTTTGCATATTAAGTTAGTTTTATTGGTTATGGGTATGGGATCCTTTACGTTCATCAGTAGCTGTCGCAGGGTGGTTGTTGGTTTGTGGGCTACCCTGATATCTAGGAGCCTCAGCCGTCTTGTTATCATCTCTGTTGTACAGTAGGGTGACTAGTGTGTCTGGTCGTGTTGTGTCTTTCTGTTGTGGTCTGTCATGGAGGTAACGGTGGATTGTGCTTTTTGGGTATCAGGGTAATCCACAAACCAACAACCACCCTGCGAAAGCTACTGACGAACGTGAAGAATCCCATACCCACAACCAATACAACTAATGTAATATACAAAATACCATGCAAGGACTGTGAGAAACATTACATAGGCCAAACTGGAAGAAAACTGACAATAAGGATACATGAACACCGACTAGCCTCCAATTCTCACTGGTCTCAATACACATGGACAAAGAAGGACACAAATTCGACTGGGACAACACATCCATAATAGCACAAGCCAAACAGAGACATGCCAGGGAATTCCTGGGGGCCTGGTATTCCAACCAGAACTCCATCAACAAACACAATGAACTGGACCCGATATACAAACCACTGAAAGACAGAACCGCAAGTGATGCCAACCACCCTAGCAAACCGAGGCATATAAATAACAAGCGGGACAGAACACCAATGCTTCACCGGAGGCGCACGGACAATGTTACCTAGCAGGGTGACGGAATCAAACACACCTGCTCGGCAGGAGAGGTGTGTCACCTTAACAAGGGTCAATAACACCACGTACTTTCAGAAATAAAAAAAGACAAAGCAGGAACATCCCCTAAGTCAATACAATCAATTTTCAGTAATTACTAAGGCATAAACCAGCAGACCAGAAATGAAAGATGATGAGCCTTTCAGCAAACATTAAGGATTCAGAAAATGTGAGTGACCAACAGCTCAGTGGTGAAGGGCTCGAACTTCATTCAAGACAGTTGTAGAAAATAGAGTTTGTGACACTTGATTTGACAACCTGCAGCAGGTATCTGTTTCGGATGGTTGTGGATGCACTCCAAATACTATAAGTTAGCCTCAGTGATTGCCCACCAAGAAGATGGATTTCTGAAAATAAAATCATGTGGATGACCGCAAGAAAACTCATCTGGTCTTCCATTATGAGCAGCATGTATGAGACAAATTAAGACCTGTCACTGCAGCATGCTGAGAAGCACCCACAAGCTGAAACCTAGACAAACATAGTGTTGAGGCTCTTTGAACAGGAGAAGTGAAGCTTTGTGTACTAAAGGGAGGAACTGTTAAATAGGACACCTGAATTAGGATAACATGTGAAGGGGGTGAGAAGTAATACAATATTATTCCAATGCTCATTTGTGCTTCTTGAAGGTCTCACATTCAGCACATCTCAATTTCCTTTCATTCTCCATCTCTCAACCTAGAATACATACCTCCCTCAACAGTGGACCTGTTTAATACTCTTCACATGTGGCCTACCATCTCTGAACTTCTTTCCCTTTAAACGACATTGCTGCAGCTTGCCTTCTTCTACATAGTGTTTAGAGTGAGCAAGATTATATTAGCAAGTGTAAGAATTACACCAAATTTTAATGTTCAGGTTTATTAATCCTGCAACATACATCTAATTATTAAGTCACATTTTCTGAATCCTTATTTCCACCAAGATCTGAATTGCAGATGGTGTAATACTCTGTTTGGACAGAGGACAATTTCATCTCTGTTGTCAGAGTCAAAGTGGACCTTGATGGTACTCCCCTTTTCTACTTGATGTTTTTCAGCAACACAGTTCGTGCATTGACGACAGCTTTGAAGGCATCTTCACTCCCTGGCGCGAGGCACTTGTCTGGGTGAAGCAGCATGGCCATCTTCCGGTAGGCTTTGTTTACTTCATCCCTGTAAAATTGACACAGTCTCAGGGTCCACAATTATCCTCCAGCACACACAACACGGCCATGAATGCAGCTTTATAAGACCTTGGTTAAGCCACACTTAGAGTACTGCGTTGAATTCTGGTTGCCACATTACAGGAAGGATGTGGAGGCTTTGGAAGGGTGCAGAAGAGGTTTACCGGGATGCTGTTTGAATTAGAGGGTATGAGCTACAAGAAGAGGCTAGAAAAACTTGGATTGTTTTCTTTTGATTGGAAGAGTCTGAGGGGAGACTTGATAGAAGTCTACAAAATTATGACATGCATAGATGGGCTTGATGGTCAGAATCCTTTTCCCAGAGTTGAAATATCTAAAACTAAGGGGCGTGCATTTAAGGTGAGAGACAGAAAGTTCAAAGGAGATGTGAGAGGAATTTTTTTTAAAAAAGAGACTAGTAGGAGTGTGGAACGAGCTGCCAGGGGTGGTGGAGGCAAATATGACAGGGGCGTTTAAGAGACTTTTAGATAAGCACATGAATATGAAAGGAATGGATCAAGGGCAGATAAAGGGATTAGTTTAATTTGCCATAATGGTCAGCGCATCATGGGCCGAAGGGCCCATTCCTGTGCTGTACAGTTCTATTAATACACAGATACTCTCTCAATATCTGAAAGGACATAGGAGCACAAATATTTTAGACACAACTCAGTTCTGACGTGAAATGGTCTTCCCTCTTTCTAACACTCATGAGGCAGTTGTTCTTTTCCATTACTGTCAATTTTTGTGATCCCATCGTCAGATTAGAGTACCAAAGTGGCATCGTTACTGGACCAATGACATGAGATTGAACACGATGCATATTCTGGTTGCCACATTACCAAAAGGATGTGGATGCTTTGGAGAGGGTGCAGAGGAGGTTCACCAGGATGTTGCCTGGTATGGAGGGTGCTAGCTATGAAGAGAGGTTGAGTAGATTAGGATTACTTACATTAGAAAGACGGAGGTTGAGGGGGGACCTGATTTGAGGTCTACAAAATCATGAGAGGTATAGACAGGGTGGATAGCAAGAAGCTTTTTCCCAGAGTGGGGGACTCAATTACTAGGGGTCACGATTTCAAGGTGAGAGGGGAAAAGTTTAAGGGAGATATGTGTGGAAAGTTCTTTACGCAGAGGGTGGTGGATGCCTGGAACGCGTTGGCAGCGGAGGTGGTAGAGGCAGGCACGATAGCGTCATTTAAGATGTATCTAGACAGATACATGAATGGGATGGAGCAGAGGGATACAGATCCTTGGAAAACAGGCAACAGGTTTTGATAGAGGATCTGGATCGGCGCAGGCTTGGAGGGCCAAAGGGCCTGTTCCTGTGCTGTACTTTTCTTTGTTCTTTGTTCATATATCACTTCAAATCTTACCAGGATAACCTGAATATAAGAATCATTGGATTTCTCTAATCCAAAGAGCTATGAATGTCCTGTTTTTGAGCATATTCAAGGATAATTGATTTTGGTTACCAAGTGAATTAACGGATATGAGACACTGCAGGAAGGTTAAATTGATGAAAATATCAGTCACAGTCTTGTTAAATGGTCAAAGAAGCTCAAAGGGCAAAACAGCCTACTCCACCTCCTATTTCTTATGCTCCTATGTACATAACAAACAGCTTACTACCTGTATTGTCCATGAGCTGGAACCGGTATAAATCCACAAGCCGGCCACACTCTAATAGGAAAGTTTCTCTTACTGTGTGATGAGAAGACCAAGGTGAATTTGCGTTACCTGGAGGCTCCAGGCTTCATTCCCAGCATTTCCCAACTATCCTTGCTGTTACGTATCCTGCGGATGGTGTCTGCCTGCTCCTTAGTAAACCCTAAGCTCACACTGGACTGAGGCCGTTTACCATTCTCACACAAATCCAGAATTGATGAGAAGAATGCCTGGATCCAGATGGAATGTACAGAAAAGGAAAATAGGATTAAACAGGAATTTGGCACAGTATTCTTTGCAGATCATGGCACACAGCAGATACTTTGTTCCCCAGTCTTTGTAGCATTCCCAGGAATCACAACGTGCCACTCCCTGGGAATCAAGCATAGCACTCCAGGGAGAATCACAGTGTGTGCTCCAAGGGGAATTGCAGCATGGCAAATCCAGATATCATGCCAGAGTGTTAGATGGAATCACAGCATGATGATCGCTGATCCCAGGAATTTTTATGGTGGTGGGGATGAAGGGAGTTCTGTATTGTACCCAAACTAGGGAACTAGAATGTTCGAGATAACAAGGTGTAGAGCTGGATGAACACAGCAGGCCAAGCAGCATCAGAGGAGCAGGAAGGCTGACGTTTCTGGCCTAGACCCTTCTTCAGAAAACAAGAATGTTCTCTGATCACAGACATGTGAACAGACCACAATCTGTAGCTTCTTGCTCCCAGCTGTTTCTCATCATTATCTAACACTGCAATTTTCCACTGGTCACTGGCTCATTGGAATGACTCCAGTCTATGTACCTGGAACATCTCATTAATGCCCTCTCCAGACTGCGCCGATGTTTCAAAGTATTGGAACCCTCGGCTCTCTGCCCAAAGCCGTCCCTCACTCTCATCAATCATACGCCGTTTCCCACAGTCAACCTGAAAGAAGAAACAAAACATAGGAACAGGAAAAGAAGGCCCACTCCACTCAGTAGCAAGGGCTTTCATTGCATTGATTCATTTTGTGATGAAATAAGTGATACGTTCGAAGTTCTTTTCTACTAATGTAATAAAGCAATACTTTACATGCCTTGCACCCGGGACAAGTACAGCGCAGGGTGACTTACAGTACGTCTTTTACTACACTGTCTCCAGCAAACACTCCCAGGACAGGTACAGCACAGAGTTAGATGCAAAGCTCCCTCTGCATTTAATCCTGCACAAAACATTGTACTAAGAGAAAAATCTGAAAGAACTGTGGATACTGTAAATCAGGAACAAAAACAAAGTTGCTGGAAAAGCTCAGCAGGTCTGGCAGCATCTGTGAAGGAAAAAACAGAGTTAATGTTTCAGGTCCGGTGACCCTTTCTCAGAACTGAGTACTAAGAGATGTCACTCTTCTAGGGCATCAACAATTTCTTAGGACAAGCAGTTTTTGAAATAATCAGATAATTGATTAAATGAAATTAAAAAGTGCTGGAGAAATCAACAGGTCTAGCAACATCTATAGAGGGAAAAAACAGAGCTAATCTTTCATCTCCAAAATAACTTTTCCTCATAAGTATTGGAATTGAATAGTCAGTTTATTTCTGATGTGGAATTCTCCTGCTTTTCATGGACATGATATCAATCTTCCACATTGCCAGTGGATGCCACTATCAAAGCTATACTGCAATCACTTGATCACATTCACTGCTTTCACAACAGCCAGCATTTCAGCAACTAAAGCAGTGTATTTTCAATAACTTTTTATCTTCTCAGCTTCCTTAGCAAAAGGATTCTTTTTTCCATTTTTACTTATCAAAAATGTTAGGAAACAGCAGGACTCAAATACCTACCAGGAGCTTTAGCATATGAAGAATGATTGAAAATGACAAATTGCAAATTCTTCTGGTCATGCAACAATGGAAATTTAAGTTGTCCTTTGTGCAAGTTTCACTGTATTAATTCTTTATTTCCCCTTAAATTATAGTGAACCACAGCATTGTTCTGCCCTGGTACTAAATTCCAAAACGTCAAACCTCATATCTGATACGACCTGAATGCATAACCAGTTCAACTGATCAATGAAACTTAACAACTGTTCTGTCTCTTATTTGGATTTAATATCACATTCTATAATGGCCTAGCAAGTTTAACCAGGATGGGAATAGTATTCTCCAAAAGGCCCCAGAAATCTCTTTTTAAATTCCTCTTTAATCTTATGAATAATATATTTCTGAAATTTCATATGACCGCACCATACAAAATCCTGTGCTATCAATAGCCTGGGAGTTACCACTGACTAGAAACTGAACTGGAACAGCCAAACAAATTCTGTGGTTCTAAGAGGTGGTCAGAGACTAGGAACTTTGTGGCGAATAACTCACCTCTTGATTCCCCAAAATCTGCACACCATCTACAAGACACAAGTCAAGAGTGTGATGGAATTCTCTTCAACTGCCTGTATGAGCGCACTTCCAATAACACTCAAGAAGTTTGACACCATCCAAGAGAAAGTTGGCATCCTAAAGACAACCTTCAAAATCTATTACAATGCACTGCAATACCTCACAAAAATTCTTCCAATAGCATCTTCCAAATTCATAATCTGTACCTCGTCAAAGGACATGGGCAAGTGTTATGACTGTAACATTACTGATAATCAAGCCCCACTACTCCACCAGCTATATCCTGAATATAAATGTGCTGAGTCAACCCACTGAATGACCATTCCACTCTTGTGCTGTTACTACCAACTTGGCAAAGTGTGCTGATTCTCAAGCCCCACTACTCTAGCATCGTCACACAAATTAACTGTTGGCCAAAGGTCTGGAAATAAAAAATAAAATGTGATTACTTCTTGAGTCCATGTTTTCCTATTGACAAAACTGAATTGTTGACAGCTGTAGATTGATGATAGATATCCAGTTCTGATTCTAACCAACTTGAATTTGAGACTATGAGAATTGGTCACAGTCCATTAGAAAGAAACACTGGTATTTGGGAACTTAATCGGGTTCCAGGGACTTTGCAGAGAATAGGATATCAGAGAAGTCCTGCAGTTTCGGGGTGACTTCCTTACTCTGATTCCTGTGTCCACAGAACAGACGTCCAAAGAGTTCATTGAGCACATTCAGTTTCCTAGAACAATATGTTGTGAATCCTAGCAGGGACATGGCTATTTTTGATCTGGTGATGTGTAATAAGGAAAGTTGAATAAATGATGTCAGAGTAAAGGATCTCTCAAAAACAATGATCATAACGTGGTAGAATTTAGCATTCAGTTTGAGAGGGAGGAATTTGGGTCAGGAACAATTGTGCTAAGCTTAAACAAGGGCAATTATAAAGGAACAAGATCACAACTGGCTGGAGTGGAACAGAAAGAGAATTTGGCAGCAAAGACGGTTGAGGAAAAAGAGCAGATGTTTAAGAACATAATTCATGGATCAGAGTGAAGATATATCCCAGTGAGATATAAGGATTAGAGAGTCTAATCTCTACTGAATATAACCCTGACTGATTCAGTCTCTCACCCTACATCAGTCCCACCAACCCAGGTATCATTATGGTAAACTTTCTCTACACTCCATCAACAGCCAGACCCAAACTACTCACAATAATCCAGATATGGTCTTACCAATGCCCTGTACAGTTGCAGCAAGACATCCCTGCTCCTGCACCCCAATTCACTAGCTATGAAAGCCAATATACCATTTGCCTTCTTCATTGCTTGCTGCACCTGCATGTGTACTTCTGCAACTGGTGTACAAGGGCACCAAGATCTTGTTGCACCTGCCTCTTTTCCAATCTACCACCATGGATGCACTCTTAATTCCATTTTGGACTTCATTTCTTTGTCCCTAATCCTAAACTCTCTTATTAACTTGCTGACTAAGTCATTGGTAACACCCCCTTAAAGAGTGTCCTGTACCCACTTTGTGACACCCTTGACCCTGGCACGAAGCAAGCAACATACCATCCTGGAGTCGTGTTGATAGTTACAGAAACATGTGTCTGTTCCCATAACAAATGAAGCCCCTATTACAATCACACTTGTTTTCTTCTTCCTCCCTCACTGTACAGTCAGCCTGCTTTTGCTGTCAGAAGCTTGGATCTGATTGAACTCCCCTGAGGAACCAGCATCCTCATTAGCTTACAAAATAGAAAACCGATTTGTGAAAGGACCTCAGGGGACCCCTGCACTACCTACATGATTCTCTTTGACCGCCTCGTGGCCACCCAGGGAGGAGGGGGTGGAGGGGTGGGGGTAGTGGTGATGGCCTAGTGGTATTATCGCTAGACTATTAATCCAGAGACCCCACCAATGTTATGGGGATTTAGGTTCGAATGACAGATTCTGAATTCAGTAAAAATCTGGAGTTAAGAGTCTGATGATGATCATAAATCCATCATCAATTATTGGAAAAACCCATCTCGGAAGGAAACTGCCATCCTCACCTAGTCAGGCCTATACATGACTCCACACCCACAGCAAGTGGTTGACTCTTAACTGCCCTCTGGGATGGTCAATAAATGCTGGCCTAGTCAGCGACACACTCATTCTTTGAATGAATATTAAAATAACCCATTCCATTCTTTCCTCCAGTTCCTTGAGTTATGGTGTGACCATCTCTCTCAACGTGCTATCCATGTAACTCTTAGCCTCACATATGTAAAACAGTGTTTCCAGCCATCACTTGCACTCTGAAACCTCAAGTTTCAACCGTTGGACACACTTGCACTTATGTAGGACACTGGTAGAGTCCATTACTTCCCACATATTACAGGTCACATTTTTCATTTGTCTAATCTCACCTGCCACATCTTAAACTTAGACAACAAGGTGCAGAGCTGGATGAACACAGCAGGCCAAGCAGCATCATAGGAGCAGAAAGGCTGACGTTTCGGGCCTAGACCTTTCATCAGAAAAGCTTTTTTTGTTTTTTTTTTAAGAGGTCAAGGGATGGTAGGAGGCCTTGGGGTGGTGTCCAGGAGGAGGGGGTGTGTTGGAGGCGGGAGAAGGGGTCAGTAGAGGGAGGGTTAGGTTCACGGTTAAAGAAGTAAGCGTGGAGGCGGAGGCGGCGGAAAAGCTGCTCTATGTCCAAGCGTGAGTGGTATTCGTTGATCTGTGGGTGGAGGGGGACAAAGGTGAGCCCTTTACTGAGGACTGACCGTTCGTCCTCAGTAAGGGGGAGGTCTGGGGGGATGGTGAAGACTCGGCAGGGCTGGGTGTTACTGTCTCCTCTGGAGCTGCTGGCTGTGGAGGCTGTGGGCGGAGTGACGTTGGCGTCGGCTGTGGGCAGAGTTGCGTTGGCGTAGGCTGTGGGCGGAGTTGCGTCGGCATCGGCGGTGGGCAGACCCTTTTCTGATGAAGGGTCTAGGCCCGAAACGTCAGCCTTTCTGCTCCTATGATGCTGCTTGGCCTGCTGTGTTCATCCAGCTCTGCACCTTGTTGTCTCGGATTCTCCAGCATCTGCAGTTCCTACTATCTCTACATCTTAAACTTACTAGTCTTCCTAACTTTTCTAATTACTTCGTATTAAAGATACTCCTATTACCTTAACTTTAGTCTCTTATTCTAATTTAGTTCACTTATCCTATTATTATTTCTTATTATTCTTATTGTACTTTATTATGCTTTCTCTGACATTCACTTTCACTGAGCCAGAAATCTCTAAGATGAAGTTCTTTAACTTTCTATATCATCTGTTACGCTCCAATGATATAGAACATAGAACATTACAGCGGAGTACAGGCCCTTCGGCCCTCGATGTTGCGCCGACCTGTGAAACCAATCTAAAGCCCATCTAACCTAAACCATTCCATTATCATCCATATGTTTATCCAATGACCATTTAAATGCCCTTGAAGTTGGCAAGTCTACTACTTTTGCAGGCAGGGCATTCCACGCCCTTACTACTCTCCATTGTCCTCCATTGAACAACCAACCACCCTTTAAAATGTATTATAGTCTCAAATGCCTTCAGAGTATCCAAACTTTTTTTTTAAATTCACTCATGGGACGTGGACATCGCTGGCTGGCCAGCATTTTATTGCCTGTCCCTAGTTGCCCTAGGAACTAATAGGCATCCCGCTCACAATACACTTTGCTTCTAGTATTATTTTTGTTTGGAAAAGACAACGTCGAGGCTTTACTTTATTTGATAGGGATGTAAACTGTGCTTGTATATTTTCATCATTTTTCCGCAGATAATATGTTTCAGACTATAAGAAAATCTGAGGGCAATTGTATCCTGGAAATTTACACAATATTTGCCATTTTCTGGAATGATCACTAGGTCTGTAGTGACCAATTTGAAAACAAAATCCTTAGTTTTCAACTGAACCTCTTTGGTCACGATTTTCTGCTACCCTTTTTTGTCCTAACAGCCATTTGGTTTGGTGAGGGAAGAAATCACAGCCGGTCTTCACTTGAAATAGATTTATTCACAAAATGAAACATTACAGGTACATATCTCTGCTAACAACCCTCACTCTGTATCAGTCAGTCTCTATAAATATTTTTTATCAACCTGCTTTGACATGTAATGACGTACCTTCGTGGCCATCATATCCTGAGGTGGGAACTGAACGATGCTCAGAGTTAGGGACACTACAACTGCTCAACAAAATGTATACAATTAACCATCCAAATCAATGAATTACACATGTATTTTCTTAACCTCAATTGACAGAAGAACAGACAAGTGTACAAATTAATAAAAGGAGTAGGTCATTTAGCCCCAGAGGCCTCCACCATCATTCAATGAGATCATGGCTGTTCTGATTCTAATCTCAAATCTGCATTTCCACCTGCCCCTGATAACTTTTCACCCCGCTTTGTTTAACAAGACTCCATCTACCACTGCCTTAAAAATATTGAAGGACACAATTTCTGAAGAAGGGCCCTGACCCAAAACGTCAACTTTCCTGCTCCTCTGATGCTGCCTGGCCTGCTGTGTTCCTCCAGCTCCACACTGTGTTATCTCTGACTCTAGCATCGGCAGTTCCTATCTCTGAAATATTGAAGGACTCTGTTTTTACCACTGTCTCAAGAAGAGAGTTCCAAAGACTCAACTCTCTAAAAGCAATAATTTCACCCCATCTCTGTTTTAAATTGGTCAACCCTGATTGCAAAACAGTGACCTCTAGTACTAGAAATTCCCTTAAGGGTCAGTAGTAGTATCCCTAACTCTGGGTCAAACATCCAGGTTCAAGTCCTATCAACAAGTATAACGAAAGGTTAGATACAAAGTAAAGCTTCCTCAACACTGTTCCCATTAAATGCTCCAAAGACAGTCATAGCTGTGTTAGATACGGAGTAAAGCTCCTCTGCATCGTCCAGATCAAACAGTCTCAGGACAGGTCCGCAATGCGTTATATCCAGAGTAAAGCTCCCTCTACACTGGTTCCATCAAACATTCCTAGAACAGGTTCATAATGGAGTTAGGTGCAAAGTAAATCACCCTCTGTACCATCCCCATCAAACATTCCCAGAACATATACAGCATGGAATTAGATACTGAATAAAGCTCCTACTGCACTGTCCCCATCAAACACTCTCAAGCCAGATACAGCACAGAGACAGAAACAGAGTAAAGCTCCCTGTAACTATAATATCCTAAGTATCAGAAGTCACACAACACCAGGTTATTCTTCACCTGACGAAGGAGCAGAGCTCCAAAAGCTTGAGATTTCCAAAAAATCTTTGGATCATAACCTGGTGTAATATGACTTCTGACTTTGTCCACTCCAATACAACACCGGCACCTCCACATCATGTCCTAAGTGTGGAGACGTAGCAAGATAATATAACTATAATGTGTTACCTTATTAGCACAGACAATGAACACAATGTTCTCCATGTTCCCATGAGGTCCCAATTCCTGCTTCATCTCAGTAAGCCAGCCCTCCAGCGCATCGAAGGAATCCTTCAGGCCAACATCATAAACAAGGATCACTCCTTGAGTGTCTTTGTAAAATTCATTGCGCACCTATCACAAAAACAAAAATCACCAGCAAGCAAATGATCAAACAATGCTGCTAACATCAACAATGCTAATTGGGAATTCTACCCTTTGCAGCTCATGATAGTGGAGCATTTGAGAAAATCAAGCATGGCTAAAATATAAGGCATTCCAAGTAATAGCTCATTGCAAACAGTTGTAATGCAAGGTCAAAAATCACACGACACCAGGTTATAGTCCAACAGATTTATTTGAAGTCACAAGCCTTCAGAGTCTCACTCCTTCTCCAGGTATCTATGAGAGAGGTGGCATCAGACACAGAATTTATAAGCAAAAGATGAAAGGGTCATAGAACTGATGCGGTGTTGAACAAACCTAAGATGGCTATTAAAGTTTTAATCAATTAGAAAGGATTAATATGCAAATTCCCGAATTTCTTTCAAGTTACTTCCCCAAGATAACTAAAGGTTTATCAGTTCCCCCTGTATACCAGAGGTGACATCCTTGGTCAGACAATGCATTTTAGGTGTGAGGTCTTGTTTAGAATCTGGCTGTATATCAACTTGGAGTCAGACTGGTTTTATTTCGAAAGTAGGAATTCATGAAATTCCACATTGATTGTCTACAAATTGTGTGCCTTTTCAACAAAATAGAATGTATCTGCAATTACAAATCTACAAATACAAATTCACCCCTGAGATTAACATCTGTGCATGCGCGTGCGTGGTATGTGTGTGAGGGACAGAGAAAGATTGCGTGTGTGTGAGGGAAAAAGAGATAGAGAGAGAGGGAGTGAGTGTATGTGTGAGAGTGTGTGTGTGTGCGCATGAGTGTATGTGTGTGTGTGCATGAGAGAGGGTCTGTGTGCGTGTGTGAGAGTTTTTGTGTGAGTGAGTGTGCGTGCATGTATGCGTGTGTGTGAGAGTGTATAGTGTGGTGGGATCACCTGTAGTGCGACATGAACATGAGATCCCGGTTGGAGCCGTCCTCATGGGTACCAAACTTGGCTATCAGCCTTTGTTTGGCAACTCTGCATTGTTGTGTATCCCAAAGTCCATCTTGGTGGACATTTACCCAAAGATCTGAGGCCGAATGTCCTTGACCGCTGAAGTGTTCCCCCACTGGGAGGGAACATCCCTGTCTGACGATTGTTCCGTGGTGTCCATTCATCCTTTGTCGTAGTGTCTGCATGGTTTCACTAATAGACCATACCTCTCTGTCTCCCTCCCTCTCTCTCTTTCTCTCGCTCACTCACACACGCATGCACACACAAATAAACCTATGGGGTGAATTTACATTTGCAGATACATTCTTTTTTGTTCAAAAAGCACACAATTTATAGACAGTCAATGTGTCATTTTATAAATTCCTACTTTCAAAATAAAATCAGTTTGACTCCAAACTGATAGACAGATCCTAAACAAGGCCTCACACCTAAAATGCATTGTCTGACCAAGGATGTCACCTCTGGTATATTGAGAGAATTGATAAAACCTTTAGTTATCTTGGGGCAGTAACATGAAAGAAATTCGGGAATTTGCAAATTAATCCTTTCTAATTGATTAAAGATTTAAAAGCCATCTTAGGTTTGTTCAACACCGCATCAGTTCTATGACCCTTTGACCTTTTGTTTATAAATTCGGTGTCTGATGCCACCTCTCTCACAGACACCTGAAGAATGAGTGAGACTCCAAAAGCTTGTGTCTTCAAATATATCTGTTGGACTATAACCTGATATTGTGTGATTTTTGACTTTGTCCACCCCAATCCAATACTGGCACCTCCACATCAGATGTCATGCAGGTCAGAGCTGATCTGCAAGCAATGGCCACACTTAAAGTTCTGGCAAAGATCTGTAGCTTGGGTTTTATGTGAGGTTGTTGATTTGCTCGCTGAACTGGCTTGTTTTCGTTCAAACGTTTCGTCACCATGCAAGGTGACATCATCAGTGGAGCCTCCAATGAAGCCGATGACGGGCTTCATCAGAGGCTCCACTGATGGTGCCACCTAGCATGATAATGAAACATCTGAACAAAAACAAGCTAGCTTGGCGAGCAATGCAACAACCTTATGGTTACAACTAAACAGGATGGCGGTAAATGGACTGATAAAATGGATACAAATGGTTTTTCTGATGAAGGGTCTAGGCCCGAAACGTCAGCCTTTCTGCTCCTATGATGCTGCTTGGCTTGCTGTGTTCATCCAGCTCTGCACCTTGTTGTCTTGGATACAAAACAAAGTTGCTGGAAAAGCCCAGCAGGTCTGGCAGCATCTGTGAAAGGAAAAAACAGAGTTAACATTTCGGGCTGGTAACTCTTCCTCAGAACTGATGGTGGCTGGGAAAACATCAGTTTATATGCAGAAAATAGGGAGGTGGGTGGGGTAGGAAGTAAACAATAGGATAGGGCCCAAAGAGAGAGAAAGACAGTTGGACAGACAAAGGAGTTGCTAACAATCAGGCTGGGAGGGTGAATAGTTGTTAATGGGGACTGGTAGTGACTAACAACAGGGGGTGTGTAATGGCAGGCTATGTGATAACAAGGCCTGGTGTGTGGGGTAGGGGGATGGGACATGGGAGAGTTTAGGCCCTAAAATTATTGAACTCAATATCGAGTCTGGAGGGCTGTACGGTCCCCAAGTGGAAAATGAGGTGTTGTTCCTTCAGTTTGCGTTGGGCTTCTGCATATAAACTGACGTTTTCTCAGCCACCATCAGTTCTGAGGAAGGGTCACCAGACCATAACCGTTAACTCTGTTTTTCCCTTCACAGATGCTGCCAGACCTGCTGGGCTTTTCCAGCAACTTTGTTTTTGTTCCTGATTTACAGCATCCATAGTTCTTCTGGTTTTTATTTGATAAAATGGATACTTCAGTAAATAAAGAGTCATTTAAATCAGACAGAAAAGCAAGGGAAAAGGAAAACAGGACAAATATTAGGCTGTTTCAATTCGCGGACTCATAAAAGAATAATTTCATGGAAATTGAAAGAACTGCGGATGCTGTAAATCAGGAACAAAAACAAAGTTGCTAGAAAAGCTCAGCAGGTCTGGCAGCATCTGTGAAGGAGAAAACAGAGTTAATGTTTCGGATCCAGTGACCCTTCCTCAGAATAATTTCATGGAGATGTTTTAAATTATAGAGGGCTAGGTCAAAGTAGATGTAAAGTATGTTCCCAGTGTCAAACTGGTTGCATAAGTATCAGATCAAATGGAAAAGATTTCAGACCAAGAGCAGGAAAAGCTTCTTTATAGAAGAAGAATCATTGACACTTTTGGATTCACTTTCAAAGCTAGTGATTGAAGCAAAGATCAGGTAAAAGTTCTAATTCCACAACTGGGTGGTGATGATATAATTTAGTATTTAACCCAATCACCAAAATGGCCATGATATATTTTATTTATGTTAGTTTCAGAACATAAAACAAAAATTGACCAGGTTTTTCAAATAAACAAACTATTGAATTTTTATAAAAGCAACAATTACTCAAAGATGCAAAACTTACAAACAAAAACAAAGTTGCTGTAAAAGCTCAGCAGGTCTGGCAGCATCTGTGAAGGAGAAAACAGAGTTAACGTTTCGGGTCCGGTGACCCTTCCTCAGAACCTTCTGAGGAAGGGTCACC